GTCGAATCAAAACTACCCAGACAAAAATCTCCAGAAAATAATCAAAATGTGCACACTCGGCACGTCAACAACATACAGAAAGTTACGCGGTAAAAACTGAACCAATCAGAAAATACGGACGAAAATCACGAATAAAAATCAATTCCGGACAGAAAATACCGCTAAACACAACGGTTCTGAAAATTGAGAAAGGCGGAATGTGTCTTACCTTGCGTACAGCAATTTCCTGAACAGTCTCTTCGGACGAAAACAGCCCCGCATCGCCCGAAAATCAACTTTTCCACTTTTTCCTTCATTTTTTCTCTCTCCTGGCTTTTTCTCTCTTCAAAATATCTCATTTCTATATATATGCAGACTGATCGTCCAGGACGATCGCACTTCGTCCTGGGACGATCTGGCTCTGGACAAGTGTCGTCCAGACGAGATTTAATTATCGTCCCCGGCGACCGGTCCTCTAGAAAACTTTCGTCCAGACGATCCATGCAGCCAGAACTGTTTTCCTTGAACAACCTGTACCGATCGCCCCGGACGATCCAACTTCGTCCGGACGAACCTGGAGCAAAAACTGATGTTACATCCATTCATACCATTTCTAGCAAAATCACATATCTCGGTATTCCATTGTCTTTCTATAGGCTTAATATGGAGGATTACATGCCGTTAATTGATAGCATTAACAAGAAGTTTACTGGTTGGAAAGCAACAATTCTATCACTAGCGGGTAGGATACAATATTTGAAATTCACAATTCAAAATTCTATAGCTTATTGGATTAGAGGTGCAATATTGCCTAAAGCTGTCCACAAATTTTTTAAAAAATCTAGCTCTAGATTTTTTATTTTTTGGGGATGTAAATTCTAACAAGAAGTTACATATGGTTGCTTGGGACAAAGTATGTATTCCTATATCCAAAGGTGGATTGGGTATCTCTTCTATACCAGCTATGCAATTCTCATTCAATTGCTCTGTCATATTAAGACTGTATAACAATCAATCACCCCTTTCTGTATGGCTGTTAAGCAAATACATATCCCCTTGGAGGCCTCCTCCGGCTGCTGCTTCTAGGTTTTGGAAATCTATCTGCTACTAACTCAGCTAAACATTCTTTTAAATTCAGGATTTCAAATAAGGCTCCAATCTCCTTGAAATGGGATCACTGGTTGTATGGCAACAATCTTAGTGACCTTCTTGGTTCTACTTCCATTGCTCATATTCCTGACATTGCTCTTTCAAATTCTATTTCAAATGGTGCATGGGTTTTGCCTGATAACCTCTCTCCCAGTATTAAAGATGTATTATTGGGTATTCATGTTAATGCTGGCGAGGGACCCTACTTGCTCTGGTATGATAAGGAAAAAAGTAATTTTAAAAATTATATGGATGAATTTCATTCGGATATGGAAGACTGCAGTTGGTATAAGATGATATGACATAAAAGAAATGCATTAAAATTCACTGCTTTTGCATGGTTGGCTAATGTTGGGGGACTAAAAACAGCTGATGCTCTTAGAGTTAGGAATATTGTTGTTCCAACTAAATGCATTCTATGCTACAGTGGTGTTGAAACGTTATCACACATCTATTTTGAATGCCCTTTTTCTTTCAATATCCTGATTTCTGTATTTAAAGGGATGAGCAGTTTTCTGCTCAGGCCTAATCTCAGACAGGTTTTTGATTGGATCAATGGGAGGTATAATGGGAATCTGGAACTGCTAAATTTTTACAAACTGATTCTCTCCACTATGATCTATTATCTTTGGAAAGAGAGAAACAATAGAATTTTTGGCAATCATGTTCAATGTCATACTACTTTATTGTTAAGTATCAAAAGAGTTATTTTTGAGAAGGTAATGAAATGGAAAAATGCTATGAAGTTACTGGACAGACTTTAAGCTGGGCGGCTCTGTGTATCCCGTTGATGCCCCTTCGATTCTATGCAGATATGCCCACCTGGACAATGATGAAGCTCCCCACACTCCCTTTTGGATGGCCCATGGATTTCCATGGGCAACCGGGGTTGTGTTTTGATCTGTTTTCTCTGTTTATTATATTCCTGAGTCCAGGTGTTTTTTGGGCATGGGAGCTCTGTTTTTTGGCTTGTTTTTCAGGCTCAGGTTGGAGCTTTTTTTCTCCAGATAGGCGATCGGTTCGTGCGATTGGATTCTGATGTCTTTCTGGCTCTCAAGTTGTCCTATGATGCTGTTATCTCTGGGAGATCCGAAAGTTTTTGGTCTCAGATGTCTGATTTTTTTTCTGTTCTTTTACATGTCCAATCCTGATTACTGTTTTACTTTCTGATGGCGTCTTTGTTAGTCATTTACTTGCTTTTTCAGTCTTCTATTTTGGGCTTCTTCAAGCCAGCCATTTTTTGGCTTTAGTATTTCCCTTACTTTACATGTAAGCTTTTGATTAATATACGGGCTACGCCCAAATTTTTCCAAAAAAAAAAAAAAATTTAGCATGCAACAATCTACATAGAAGACAAAATACCGAAACAAGATTTATCTTTTAAATGGCATTTCTCAAGTAGAAGTTCAGTTTGCTGATGGAATAACTCTAATTATTGTACTTGACAATTTCCCAAAAAAAAAAAAATGTACTTGACATACTTAAAAAGCAATAATCATAATTTATATTATAAAAGCAATTGAACGTGTTACCTTTTTTTTTTCCTCCTCACATCGCTTTTATTCACAATATATTCTAAAATTAATTTTTTAAAATTAAAATTTAAATATGCCAATATGCTTGAAAAATTAAAATTCCGGTTACAAATATAACAATTGAGATTTTATTTTAGGGGTGTAAAAAATCTGACACAACTCGACTAGGAAAATTTCAGGCTTGGGCCTAACTCATTTGCCATATGGGTCGGCGTAGGTCGGGTTTGGATTCGAGATTCCGACCTGTTTAAAAAATCAAGTCGGATTTGGGTTGACCCAACAACTCGAAAACAAACCGGATTTGACCCACGTCGTGTCCGCATAAAGCTCTCCGACGGTTCGGGTCGCGCGTCGGGTTGGGTCAACCCGGTAACCCATGCTGGTCGGGTTCATGTTAGAAATCCTGACCCGTTTGTAAAACCGGATCAAATTCAAATTTCTCCGTTTAAACTCGAGTCAACTCGAGTTTGAGCTGAACCTGACTGATCGACCCATTTTGACACCCCTAATTTATCTCATGCTTTTGATATTAAAAGTCAAACATACGAATACATTTAAATTTTAATTCTACTACAATAAATTTGTATCGTGTTTTGAAATTTAATTATACTAAAAAAATAATTGAAAAATTTTTGATTTGTTCTCCCATATTTTCAGTGCTTACTTTTTTTTTTTTTAAATATTTGAATGACATATTTTCAAAAGAGAACATGATTATTTTAAAATGAATGAGAGAATGTGAGAGATAATGGAGAGGTGATTGATTTTTTTTTTTATAAATGAAAATATATTAATTGTCATCCAATAATGGATGGGGCATTAAAATAAAAAGAAAAAAATATTTTAAATAGAGCAATTATAATAATTTTATTTTAATTAAAAAAAAAACAAAAAAACAATGGAAGGGATAATCTGAGGGCTTTGGGCGTGCCGGAAGATATATTCATACGTACATAAGTCCATCTACATTCCTCTACTAAGCCAAGGCGGGGGCCGAAAAGAAGGGTTTCGTCGCTTCTGCGTCTCTGCTTCTGCTTCTCTGGGAGAAGGCGGCGTCTGGATAGTAGGGCGGGAAGGGGAGGCAAAAGAAGGGAAAGAGGAGCGATAGGATGGACGGTGGCAAGGGCGCAGGGGGCAGCAGGGGCGACGGCACCGTGGCGACTGCTGGAATTCCTGCTGGTGCGAGGAAGATGGTGCAAAGTCTCAAGGAGATCGTTAACCTCCCAGAACAAGAGATCTATGGCACGCTCAAGGAGTGTGGCATGGATCCTAGCGAGGCCGTGCAGCGTCTTCTTTCTCAAGGTGCGGCTTTTCTTCCTCTTCTCTCTTTGTACGCTCGGCCTGTCGTCTATGTATGACTATGTTTTCAATTAATTGATGCATTTGTTGGAGGAAGTCTAGGAAAATAGGAGATGCGGCGAAATGAAGGTCTGATCAGGTAGCTTTGATTCGGGACTTGCAATGGATTATTGCTATTAAGTGCGTGTTGTGTTGTACGGCTCTGGCTGTTATCTGAGTGGAAAGGATCAAGTACTTATTGATAGGTGGATTCAGGATTTCTCAGCGTGTTTTATGCTGTTAAAATTGAGTGGTGAATGTCATTGTTCTCTTATTTCTTCTTACGACTTAGATTACGATACCGCTTACTGGGTTTTCTACCTGATGTATCTGTACAATTTAGAGACCAATTTATTCTTGTTTTTGGATTAGGAGAGTTGGGTGTCTTCAGCACTTAACTCTTAGATCAAACAGTGGAGGCTGTGGTTGCTCTGTTTTTGTCAACTGATTTTCAACTTTGCCTACTCTTCATTGCTGGTGGAAATTTAAATTTACGCTCATTTTATTTACTGTTTAGCTGGAAATGGTTCTATGTTACCCTTAATTTGCACTCTTCTATTTAAATTCATCCGCTTATTAGAAAATTGCCTTCCTTCAGTTTGTTTGTGAGAAAGTTTGCCTTTTCTTACAACTAATATATATATATATATATATTGGGTTTGTTGAACTCACCATTGAGCACTATTCAACTTGGGTAACCTTGGAACTGACAATAAGCTACAAAAAGGTTGTGGATTAATATATAGTACTGAATTGTTAGTGGATGCTTTCTGCACCAAACTATTATGACCCCTTCAGAATGCTATACATATTTAATTACTACTTGGACCAGTTAGGATCTTTTTTTTGATCTGTCAAGGAATTGAGCTTGAAAGGCAGGGGTGTAAAAGAACATGGCTGGTAGCAGTTACAGCTTTGAGAAGAGAAGCGGTTATGATGAATGATAGTTGGGATGAAAGGTGAGGTGGAGGTGCCCCTTTTGTCTGAATTGGATGATGATAAAGGTGTATTGGAGTATGGTTATTGAATGATAGTGAGTTTGTTGATGGTTGCTGCAAAGGAGCGTGGTGTTACGATGTTTGATGATAGTGAAAATGGTGCTGGTGGCCCTTTTGTCTGAATTGGAGGATGATAAATGTGTATTGGAGTATGGTTAGTTGAATGATAGTGAGATAGTGGATGGTTGCTGCAAAGAAGGGTGGTGTTAGGAAGTTTGATGATAGTGAAAATGGTGCCGGAAGATCTTCTTTCTCATTGTTGTGGTGTTAAAAGGCATGTAAAGAGAAAAAAAGTGAGGGCGGGGTGAAGTAAATGATGGGGTGTGATGACCGGTAGTAATAAATACATAGTTTTATGTTTTGGTGATGAGGAAAACCATCATATGACAAATCCATCCTCCTATTCAATTATCTTTTTTATAAAATATGAATTAGTTGTTATTGGGTTAGGTGGAATCAGAGTAAGTTTCAATGAAATACTTAGAATGGTGATGCATTCCGGTTTGAGATGCGTACTATTAGCCCAACAATAGCTGATTGGCTCAAGTTTTGGGTCGAAATGTGACCCATTGCAAGGACTTTATTTCACATTGTTTAGCAGATGTTTGATCTACTCCTTGAAGTTTTTGATATTGTCTGAATAGTCTAATGCTGGATGTTCTTAAACAATGGGTTGAAAGTTATCAATTTATAACAAAAACTTATGCATGTCCTGTGTGGGTTGCAGGATATCTATTAATTTTGGTAGTGCAAATTTGTACTTCAAGATACAAATTATGTCCTGGATTGCTCGCTTCTTTTCTTAGAATCATTTTCCATGGCAATTCACCAAACCTTCGTTTCTGAAGTCATCCACTTTTTTAAATGCTTGCCAAGGTTAAGCTTATAACAAAATTTGCACGTCGACCAACCCTCAAGATGATATGCTGTTGGGAGCAATTAGACCCTGGTTTAAGATTTTTTTTTTTTAAACTGTCTAGTAGGTAAGTGATGATGCATGAAACGTTTTCACATGAACCTTTTATGATAGGTTCACAAAATTGTTGAAAAGGAGTTTTGTTTGTGCAAACATCATATGCAATTATGCATTCTTAAATATTTGTACTGAAGTACTTGATCTCCAATCATCTAGCCAGCAATGTTTCATGGATTCAAGTGGGCACGAAAAATATCTTTGATATTTAAGTTGAGTGTGATAAAATGTGAATGTGAAGATGGATGTGTGTCAAAACTAGCTAGGATAAATTAATGAATGAGTATATTAAATGAAAGTTTGGACTTTGGAGTGATATCTATTGAATACATGGTAGTTTAAAATGTACCTAGGTCGTTTGAGCATTTAAAAATTAAAATATAAAATGCACCTAATCTATGAGTTGATAGTGTTAAAAGATTAGGAAGATTAAGGTTTATACTTATGATAACAAGGATTGAAGTTCAAAATGATTATGAAGAATAGATTTAATACCTTAACAATACTTACCAGGATCAAGTGAAAATGAAGATTCATAAAGCTGACCACAAATAGTTGGGATAAGGCTAATGATGTTGATGTAAAATATTTTTCTCTTATTTTCTTGTTCACAACCTTGCATGTGTTTTGGTTTCACTCATATATGGTTTTCTTTATATGATCTATATATAGTTTGTTTTTTGTTATATTGAAAGGCACGCTTCTTTTGTAGATTCATTTCATGAAGTGAAGAGCAAACGTGATAAGAAGAAAGAGGTTAGTTCATTGTTGAATTTAGTTTGTATTTTGTTTTTGTATAAGTAGCGCAGCTGGAAAGTATTGAAAGATAAACTTCTTTCAACCATTTTTTGATTTTGCTGATTCCAAAATTCTCTACATTTTCTTGGAAACACATTTAACAGTAGCATGCTATTAGTTAGATCTGTGGCCAAAATTTGCTCATATTCTATTAATGTATTCATAAACTTTTTTATAATTAGTTTAAGGGAAATTGCTTTAGCTCAGTCTGAACTTAATTAATAGTTGTTTCTTAGATTCTACATCAAAGTATTAATTTATTCATCAACTGGTTTTCTCCCTAGATGAAAGAGCTTCCTGATTCTTGGTCTCGAACGACAAACAATACTTCAGGTCGTGGAATTCGGGGCATGTCTGATCGTGTGCCCAGATCTAGTTCCATCCAGAGCAGTTCGAATGGTACATCAGACATTTTCTACAACTCTACTCTAAGATTTCTTTGTTATGCCCACTTTTTTTTTGTAAATCATAATCATTGAAATTCTCAACCCTTTCCAGGCTATTATGAAGGCAGTCGTGCTAAGGCTGTTCAAAAGAAAGAAGATGGCGCTGGAAGTGTTTCTTCTTCCTCAAATATGGGATCTAGCTCTTCTGTTAGTAGAAAATCAACAATCATAAGGTTGTTATTGTTTTCATATTCTTTTTGTTCTCCAGGAAATTTGAGACAGAAATGCCAATTGCAGGCTATTCATATATTAACTTTTTCTAAGTTTTGGACAATGCCTTAGATATAGTTCTTTTGTTTTTACTTCCTATGTTAATTTTATATTATGTGAATATTTTATTGCTTTTATATAGATTTCTTTTTGTGCAAGTTGTGTTTGAATTTAGTACTTTCTGTGTTTGAAACATATTGTAGAAGTATTTCACTTCAAACTGTGGTGCCTTATTACATCTTTATGATGTACGTCATGAGGAGTTTTCTTATGAAAAAAGATGTTTGGTTTTAACATTTGTTTTGCAGACCCTTCCGTCATCTTACCTCTTATTGAGAAAGTGTTAGGAATTTTGAGCTATGTTACCTAAAAAATTACATCATAAAGCGCCACCCATCCATAATCTCTCAACTATCTCACCCTTCCTTACAGAAGACGGACCCACTCACCCATTATGAAGGTGTGTACGGGCACCCAAATACCAAAAAATGTGGGTAAAGAAGGGTAGAAGTCCACGAAGTTGTTAGCAGAACTATTCTTCTTCAAGTCTTGGAGTTTTTAAGTCTTCAATGAAAATATGCATCATCAATGTAAATCAAAACAATAATAATATCTTGGTTGTAAAATTACTACTATCAATGTCAGCAAAATGATGAAGCTAAAATTTCTTTTTCGGCATGGTTGAATTAACTTTTTTGTTCTCAGTAACATTTTCATGATAGAGCATTTGATTCTCATTGATTCCAGGAATTGAGATTTATTTCATTCCATTTTTTTATGGCATTCATCATCAAGTATTATGCATATCCAAATTTGTGGCTGTATTGCCTATGCATGGTATCTGTCTTTTTATGCCAATGCCATATGACATTTGATTTGTTCTACATTGCTACCATACTTAGGATAGGGCTGTAAATGAATCTAGCCGAATCGAGCTTCGTGGGCTTGAGCTCATTTGCCAAGACATTGTTGGAGCTTGACTCGATAAGATTTGAGCTTTTTTTATCTATGTTTGAGTTCGAGCTCATTTGCCAAGACATTGTTTGAGCTCAACTCGTGTTCATGTTCGAGTTCGGTTCATTTTAGGCTTATTGAGCCTATTAATGAGCCTCTCGTTTAACAAGTCGAGCCTATTAACGAGCCACTTGTTTAACAAAATAAAATATCTTAATCAAGCAGATTGTCAACAGCAGTAGACCAATCCGTCCCTTGCTGCCCGCTAAGTGTCAAGCGCTCTATACATTTTTTTAGTTATTTAAAGCAAAACCAAATCACTCAAAAACAATGTGGGACTAACTTCTCTTTTTTGTGGTTTTGCTGATGGCAAGCTGCAGGCGTGAATTCGAGCCGTTGGCGTGAAAGCAAGGTGGGCCATGGGCGGGATATTAAAAAATGGGAAACGGAGTGAATTGTATTAGGCGGGAATTAAATAAAATTAAGGAGTGAATTAAATAAGGCGCTGTAAAACTGAATTAATAATGTGAGTTCTAGTTGCGGGCGTGAATTAACAAGCCCTAAGATGTTGTTAAAATTAACTAAGTCGTTCTAAGACGTTGAAATAATTTAACTAATAGTGAATTTTAAAACTGAATTAATAGTGAATTTTAAAATTGAATTAAATAATTTAACTAATAAAATTAAGGAGTGAATTAAATAAGTCGTTCTAAGACGTTGTTAAGAAAACAAAATTAAATTAGAATAAAGGACTTGCAAAATTTCTTGTTAGTATTTATTTTAAAAATAAATTATTAAGTTAGTTAAATTAATTTAGCAATATTTATTTTTAAAACTATTTACTTATTTTAAGCTAACTTGAGCCGAACATGAGCCTTAATCGAGCTCTTATCAAGTTTCTTAATGAGCTTGTTCAAGAGCTTTAAACGATACTATTCGTGAACATAAAAGAACTGAAATACAATCTATTCAAGCTCGTTCATTTAGCTATCGAGTATTTATCTAAGTGTTCAAGTTCATTTGTTTAGCTTATCAAACAAACATGAATGAGCTCTTATCGAGCCGAGCCACGAGCAACTCGTCGAACGCTCGGTTCGTTTACAGCCCTACTTCGGATTTAGCTACTAATTTAAGGAACAACTTTAATGTGCAGTAGTGAAAGTTCTAAACTGTTCTATACTTTTCCAATTTCAAGCAAATGTTGCCTTGGATACCTTAATAATTAATAAATGCATTTATGAACAACCATATTAATTTTGACTTTAATACTTATACTTCTAGTGAAATTCGTTTTTGGGAGAATTTTAAATTGCTTTCATCTTGTAGCAATTCAGGGGCATCAATATTCTGCATCATAAGGCTTGGCTCATACACAGGTCTTGACCTCATCTGGTACTTCTGTCGGCATATTCCATTTTGGTGGTTCATGAATACATGAATACTTTGATGAATGCCTTGGAAATCACGGTTTGACAGAAGAATGTTTTTACATAAACATCTTATATTCTTAATTGGGATATATTTACTTAGTTAATGATTAGAATTCATTTCTGGTGTGATCTTTTTTTTTTTTTAAGTCAAGAATAAGCTTTCGCCAATTCTAGTTTTTGTCAGTACATGCTAGTTTAACTATAACCTCGGATATTCAGTTTTGTCTGTGTTGCTTAGTTGTTGATTTTCTTGTATGCTTTTGGTGCAGTGAAAATGCTCCTTCAGAAAACCTTTGGCAGGGAATTGGTTCATCTGATGGGAGCTATCTGCACTCTCAGCTATCATCAGGGTATCAACATACTTGGGCTGGGATGCCTGGGCATTTTTCTATGGCTGATATTGTTAAAATGGGCAGGCCTCAAGGCAAGCTGTCTGCTACAGTTGCGGGAAATTCATCACATTTTTCTCATAATCATATCATATCTGATACAAGTGACAAATATTCGGTGAATCTAGTTCGACCATCAGAGTTAGATCAGAGAGTTCATTCTCATGGTCCCCATCAGCCAGTTGAAGATATAGATATTGATCCAGGAACAACTAGGAATGAGCATGTTTCTGATGATGGTTGGCCATCTGTTAACCAGCCCAAATCTGGGACTGCTTCAGACATCTTGGAAACTTCTGGGGCTGCTATCTCTTATTCTGATCCATCAAAGGTTGAATTGGTTGTTGATGAAGCTCAGTTGCATCAAACTTCAAATGAAGATGAAATCCCTGAACTAGATCGATGTTCTAATTCTGAAAGTCTGCCAGAATCTGAATCTATATCTGATGGGGAAATTCAGGTGAACAGTTCAGAAGATAAATCCAAACTAGACGAAGGCTCACTACAAAATATCAGCGCCTATCTGTCCCAAAGGCATTTATTTGAGCAGCAAGGTCTCTTTTTTTTTTTCTTGAAGAAACTCATATCATTTGAATTAATATTTAGGCATTTTAGCAATTTTCTTGAATCGTATTTAAGGTTTGCAACCGGATGAATCGGTTAAATATAATGTTCCCTAATTCTCCTGTGTTTCTGCTTGTTATATGTGCTCCTGGACTAGTGCAAATGTTAACGGGCATGTTTCATAATCGCTCTGGCTTTCCAGGGAATTTATCTGGGAGCTTACTGATTATTGATCCGATGAAGTTATTTATTTTATCTCCCAGCCCTCTATTTACTGGTGGCTATGTTTGCATACATTTTTTTTTAAATTTTAGTAAATATTTCACAAACCAGGACTTACACAAATTTATAATGTTAATTTGGTATAATATTGATGTACTTTTTTGTGAGACTGTCGAGAGGCATTTTTCTGAAGCAAGTGGCAGAACTAATTGTGAACATTTGTATATGTAAAGGTGTGATTAATTTTAAAATTATGCTGATGCATATTAGTGCTGGTATTTGAGGAGTTGAGCTGGAAGCTTACTGATTCATGGTCTATTATAGATGTTATTTTTTTGTCTACCAGCCTCCTAGTTATTGGAAGTGTGTTCGACTTGTTTTAATTTAGCCGTGGAATGATTTATGCACATTAGGACAAAGATTGAGTTTTAAGATGTTAATTTGCTAGCATAATTATCACTATGAGTTGAAAGTCAGTTTTGTGAAGCTTTATTACCGCTTTCATTACCGGGTCTTTCCCCTTCTCAATCTTCTTATGCTTTGTTTATTTCTCAAGGAAATCTATTGCATCTGTGCTTATTGATGTTTTTGTTGTTTTCCAGTTGACGATGCCAATGTAGAAATTTCATCAGCTGCTGCAAACTTGCAGAATCTTAGACTGCAAAAGGATGGTCTAACTGCTCCTTCTTTGGAGGATAATCCTGCAGTGATAATTCCTAGACACCTGCAAGTTACTAATGCTGATTGCTCACATCTGAGCTTTGGTAGTTTTGGCTCTGGAATAGGCACCTCCTTTTCCGGATCATTACAACCAAAGCCACTGCATGACAATTCAGAGATCGCTAATGTTGCTGATGATGCTCCTTCACTTACTCATTCAGAAGCCAGGTACTTCTCTATTGTCATATATTCTCTTTATTTTGCTTTGAGCTATTAGTTTTATGTTGAATGATTTACTTGCAGGAACTCCAGTTACTATGAGAATGATGAGCTAAAATCCCAAATAAATGAAGATGCAAGAGCTGGTATGAATACTGTGAATTATGACATGCCTTCAGCTTCAGAACCTGAGCTCATCAGGGATGATGCAGTGAATACCACACATGAACTGCAGTACAATTTTCCATCATTATCTGGCTATGGGACCTCAACATCAGCGCAACAAAGTGCCACTGCTTTTTCCCATCCTCAAACTAATTTACAAATGCAAAATTTTGCCTCTTTATCAACTCTAATGGTAATTTTCTGTTCCTTGGTCTCTATACTGACTGCTTATTTCTTAAGGATTCAGACTCATCTTAAACCCTTATTACATAGGGAAATAGTAGGTCTATTCTGATTGCTTACTTTAGATTAGTTGTTTCTGCCTATTCGTAGAGTCAGCCTTCTAGTGATTTCAAAGTAGCTGGCAGTTAAGTCTGTTTAAAACAAACTATGATGAGGCTTATCGAGATGTTCATGTTTTTTATCAATACACTAGAGATCTGTAGATTAGGCATTTAAATATTTTATGCTAATTATTCTTTATATTTGTTTAGTGTATTTATTCATTTTTTTCCTTTTAGGATGCATTTGTCATTATTAGTGTGTGGGGATTTTGTCCAGGTCATCCCATTCCTATGAATAGCCTTGTAAGCATCATTTAATCCTATTTTGATAAATGTTATCTATTTTGGCCCCTTGGTGAATTCGATCTGCAAAAAAGCTTGAACGGAGGTGGTGTAACGCTCTTCCTCCTTTGATAGTCTTAGAGAGCCTTACGAGTTTGAGTTCCTTTCTCTTTTTCAAATTTCCTTATTCCAAGCTCGTCCGCTCCTTATTTTTGATTTCCTATTGTTTTCTACTCTCCACCAGCCTTATAAAAGAGTGCTACGTGGTAGGTTTCTAAACTTCCACTAGGAAAAAAGTTGGATATAAATAGATCTGTACAGTCAAATATAAAGCAGAGGAGAGAATGGATAAATTTAAAGCCTGGCTTTTAACAAAAGGGTGCATCCAAAGATGAGATATTGACTATTAAGAAATTCTCTTTCTTATTGCAAAACTCAATAAAATTTGGATTTTGGGTTGGCCTCTTTATTAAATCTATATGTTAATAATGCTTTTCTTATTGGCGAGCACAAGTAGGAACAATAGAGAGATCTCATCTAAATTGGAAAATCAAAGAAACATCATTATAGTAGCACACTTCAAAAAGCTCTACATGCTCTCAAACAATTCTCTCATGCTTTGTTTGACATTTTTTTTAATATTTTGATGGGTACACTTAGTGCTGAAATGATCACACTTTTTTTAGCAAGCTCTTATCTAAAGAAAAATGACAATTATGATAATATATTCAAGTGACATTATATTAACACGTGACAATGAGGAAACACTAATCGAATTAGAATGATTTATAGCAAGAGAATTTGAGGTAAAAGATTTAAAAATCTAAATACTTTCTTTGTGTAGAAATGACTCGATGAAAATTAGGTATTTTTATTTCCCAATGGTAGTATATTCTTCATCCATTTCAATAAATAAAAATGATTGGATGTAAGCTCTTAAAAACCTTAATGGAACCAAGAAGAAAATGGGATCACTATTAATAACATGCATCTTCAGTAGTGTTGGTATCAATGACTTTTAGGCAAACTCATCTACCTCTTGAGAAGAAAATATGAAGAAGAAAGACTTATTGTGTTCTTTCTGATTTTGTTAAACCACATCTAAGTCATTTTCATTAGAGACCTTTATGTAAGCCAAAACTTGCATATAAAGCTAATTTGGAGTTTGAATCAAACCTTGAACTAACATTCGAGCTCAACTACAAATCTACATGTGATATTGAGTTTGAGTTTGAATTAGATTCTGTGAAACTCAAACCCGTTGTAGTTGTCAGTTCAACCAGGGGATTACCAAATCAAATTTATTTTGAATATGATATTTAACCTGGTATTGTTTTTGTATCGGGGTCTCAATATCTTATTTGGAGGACTTCAGTCAAGCATGCCAAATTGCACTGACAAGGTCATGATGCGTGTACGAAACAAAATTTTTGACTTAATTAAATTAACATGCATCACATTATGTTGCATTCTTTATTATTGATATTCATAACTTGCATACTAATTATTGAAATATATTTTCCATGCATAATAAAAGTTTGAAAATTGTCATAAATGTTCGTCGTCTTAATTTGGGTAATTATGAGCTATATAATGGTCTTAATTCATATCTTGTTTGCTTTTTGCACTCCACCTACAAGAACTTTCTACCAGAGCGTATGACTTTATTTAATCATTAGAAAGCTAAAATTTAATGCTTATATTCTTGATTTATTCGTATAATTAATAGGAAAGTTTTGTTATCATATTTTGGCACATTAAAGTCTTTGATGTTGGCTACATGTGTTTCCTTTGTTCGATCTTTTCAATTGCAAACTTGTTTGCGCTTATTTTGCCATTAGTTCCTAGTTAGCATTAGATTGTGAATGAGAGATTATTTTTGGGCTGTTGGGTTCATGGATATCTAACTCATTGTCATGGACGAACCTCATCATTTTATATGAGTTTTTTTCGCCTATCTCTCTCCACTTTCTAGAGTAGTATTGAGGCTTACACTCTTTAGAGGAGAGCTCTTCTCACCATGCAGAGTTGAAGACAATTGAGAGGTTCCTCATCATCGTTGATGTCCCAACAACATATATTAGATTAGATTAGGCATTAAAAGTTTTTCGTAACGTTTTTTTATTCATATTTGTTTAGGGCATTTATATTTTTCTTCTTTTAGGACATGTAAGGGCTATTTCGCATTTATGTCATGCTATTCCTATTACTAACCCCTGCAAGCGCTATTTAAACCTAATTTTGGTAAAAGCTATGTGTTTTCCTTTCCTTGGATTGTTTAATCAGTAAAGAAGATTTATTGGAGTTGTTGTGATTCATTCCTTCTATATGAGTTTTAGAGAGCTACATGAAACAATCCAGTTTATTTCTCTTGGTAAGCTTCCTTCTTCCAAGCTTCACAAACATTCATTCTTTCATTTGCGAAGATTTCTGTCCACCACCCACCCCTTTTGCATGCAAAGAGATCCTAAAAATCCATCTCAAACATTCTTTATACCCGTCTCTATCAAACTTTCATGTGTTCTATGAAATGTCAACTTCTCTAATCCCTTTGAAAAAATTGAATTTGCAAGTAATTAATGATTGCTTTTCTCATTATTATTTTCTCAAACATGTATATTTTATTAGAAGTAACTTTGTTCCGGGATGTCATCCTCCAAGAATAGAGGTCATTTCCATTTTCATTAGAGTAATTTTATCCATGCTAATTGTGGGCTCCGAAAATTTGCACCCGACCTCTCCATAATCTCTCTTTTTCCTTGTCTTTATTAGAGACCCCCTTCTTCGGAGGAGACAACAATATCTTACCATTTCTCAGTTGTACTTAGGCCAGTTCATTCGATTCAGACTCGTTTAATGAAGTATTTCCTTCAGAGTCGGTCATAGTCACTTCAGGAGATTTGTTTGGAGGCTCAAAGTTACCATCCAAATTTACATGCTCCATTTGCGATGCTAGGTCGGGATCTGATTCACCTTCATGCAGAAAATATAGATTTTCTTCCAAACTGTAATCCATTGGTGATACCACCGAACATGACTCATAAGCTGCTTTTTCAGCTTGTTCTTCTTTGATCAACATATTTGATGTCATCGAAATGACCCGGCATGTTTCCACATGAATCGAGTCTTCATCAGCTTCTTCTGCTTCATCTATTTTAAGCTCTGACACAAAATCAACGAGCTTAATAGGATGCCTCAAAGTCTGGTAATACTCGTCCAAATTGTTAATCGCCTTTTGAGTTGCTATCTTTTTTCTTCTTTGGCTTTCTTAGCTTGGTTCTTTTCTTGGAAGATCTTGATTTTGCCGTATCAAACTTTGATGAGCTAGCTTGGCCAGAATTGCACCCAAGTTAGTTTGATGTAGCATTTGAGATCTTTTTAAAACTATTATGATTTAGAATCGAGCTTTATCTAAAGCTCAGATAGAGGAGAAAGGGAGTCTTCTTGTCTCTCTTTCTTAAGTCTCTTAAGCTATCTTTTTGCATTTAGGACAACGATGACTTGTTGCTCAACAAATCGCAGTCTTTTTCACAACCTCCCTTAAGTCGTGCATTCTATGGAGTGCCTTCATCTTGATACTCCAATTGTCATGGTTGTTTGTCTTGAGCACTAATACCTAGAAGGAAATCACATCGCTGTTCACCATCCTTGACATCATTTTGTTGCACTGAGAAAGTTCTTAGAACTAAGCAAGGTGAAGGATAAAATAATGTATATTTTGATGGGAGAGATTGTTTATTTTTATTTATCATTTTGATTGATATAAACTCAAATACATCGTTGCTATTTATGCTAGTGGTATCTCTATTATGATTATGGCAACATATTTCAATGTAATGACTATAATTAGCTCCATTGAAACTCTTCTATGATAATGGTCATCAATTGACATTCTAGATTTTCTAATGATTACTTAGGACTAAATTTCAGCCGACCCCATGTAGTGGCGTAAATGTTTGTTGTTGTAGTACTTAAGAATAAATTTATGCATCTTCAAGAGATTATCTAGAATGTGTACTCTAATTGGATAACTAAAGCCTAAATAATAATGGGCCAAAGTCAAGTTAGCCTCCATTATATCTTCAGTGGTTTTGAATCTTCTATAGTTGTAAAACAAGTTTGTTTCATGAAGGAATGCATGCCTGGAAGGGCTGTAACCTTCTTTAGCATGAAAGAAAGGAAGAGAAGGGAGGCTTTGCTTGTGGCATGGGAACCTTTACCAGCATGCATGTTGGCATCAATTTACAGGGTTCATACGTTTCTTGTGCATATAGACCAAATGCTGTTTATGGTTGAATGTTCTTTTTCTATTTTATATTCTGCTTAACATTATTTCTGCAATTGTAAATTTCTTGCAGCAACCATATACTAGTTCCTTACCGAGCAGTTTATTGGCACCCACTCTTCAACCCCTCAGAGATATTGATCTTCCTTTTTCATCATTGCTTGCAACTCAATCACTGTCTACAAAACACAGTGCAACATCCTCTATTAGTGGGCCATCCATTTCCATTCCTGAGGTAGATTTTTTCTCCTTCTCAACTGTTTTTTTTTGTCCTTGTCTATTTCATTAATGCTGTTTGGTTTCATGGTTTGATTGCATCCAAGTTAGTTTCGTCCGCTTTTGTTTTGACGCACATTATTTTTTAGAGGGGTTGCTTTTTATATTATAATTTCAACAAATATCTAAAATTCTTTATAAGCCATCCGTGATTTTCTTAAATTCTTCTTGTACTTGTTTGTTGTATATTTTTTTTTTTCTTGGGAAGCTTGAGGATTCATGCACTTATTTATCCGATCTTTTAAAAAAAAATGTGGTTTTATTTGGCAGCTTGTTGATGTCGCGAAACTGTACCTAGTTCTGCTGGGACTATTAGGCTTTCCATTCTCCCGGAATTGTTGCGGTTTTATGCTGGGTGCTTTTGTATGTTTGCTCTACTTTGGGTTTGTTTCATGGGTTCTTGTTAGCGCATGTGGTTCATGTTCATGGGCATGTAAAACATTGTAATCATATAATGTAATGGAAATTCAAATTTAAGAAGTTTAACTTCTTCCGACTTTAGCTTGGTGGCGTTGTTCTTGGACATTTATATATGTGTGCATGTATGCGCTTGTAAATAGGGGTGTCAAATTCTGACCCGACCCAAAAAATTTCGGGTTTGGGTCAACCCGTTTGCATTACTGGTCGGGTTCGTGGTCGAGTTTTTGACCCGTTTGTAAAATCGGGTCGGGTTCGGGTTGACTCAGAAACTCGAAATCGACCCGTTTTGACCCGGGAAAATGACTTGTCTTGTCATACCAGCTTGTTCCGTTGCCTCATGTTGTTACGTCACCCAGTCGTGTCTAATCACGTCAGGCACTTAGGCTATTGCATCGCGCGCCATCTCTCAGTTGTGTTGCACAGTCGCCGCCGTGCAACCAACTCCGGCGCTTTGCCGTTCCGCCTCGACCACGCTAAGTCCGGCGTCCACCTCGGCTTCGCGTTGCTCCGGCTGCACCGTAGTTCCGCCTCGACCATGCTAGACGCTAGTGTTTGATGCAACCAAAAGTATTACAACACAAACACAAACAACTTTTAGGATTGCAAATACTAACATCTTCCTTTAAGCACAAATAAGACAGACATAAACCATAAAACTTATATATATTTTTGAGAAGAATGATAAATGTGGAGTGGAAACCGTGGAGAGAAGAAGTAGGTAGAAATCTGAGACAAGTTAGAAGAAGAAGAGAAGAAGAAGATAATAGCTCGCAAGCTATTACAAAACCCTATGGTTTTCTTTTCGAAAATCAGTCCATATCTCCTATATATCCAGTAGAAAAATAATAGGAAAAAGAAACCAATAGTCACCCAAAGCAGCTGCCCCATTTAGCCAACCAGAACAGAGGAAAAACCCAAGAAAAAGGTACGACCAACCCAATAACCGAACGGACAAGCAGCCCAACCAGCCAGAATCAGAATAGCTAGGAGCCCAACAGACACCAAGGAAAGAGCACGACATGCTTAGGAATCGAGCAGCCAGGTGCTCAAAAGCCCTAGCCCCCAATCAGCCATAATACCCCAAACACCAAACAACTAAAGAAAGATGGGCCAAGCCTATTTAGCTAATTTCAACCTACTAACAACTGCCCATTAATCTAAATTTTGATTGAATCAGTGTTCGGGTCATTCGACACTTCGACTAGAAGCAGGCCGCTTCGACGCTCCGACTCGACCACCATGTTGGACTTAGCGGACCTGAAGCAGACCGCTCGGCTCATGCATCATTTTTCGTGGGTTGGGTCTGGTTTACCATTAAGCCGCACGGGTCGGATTCGGGTTGAAATTCTGGACCCGTTTTAAAATTGGGTCGGGTTCGGGTTGACCTGTTTAGACTCGAGTCAACTCGGGTTCGACCCGAACCCGACCCGCCAACCCGTTTTGACACCCCTACTTGTAAAATATTTTAATTATCTCATGTTATGTAAGTTATCTAATTTTTCAATTTAGCCTGGTGGCATTGTTCTTTGACAATCTAGTGTTGACATTGCCACCTCTGCACCTCAATACTTTGGTGAGGATTGATTTATCTCCACTTATATTATTCATCTACTTGTTAATCCATCACATACATATTACTTTCTCTTCCTCTCAATCATTGTGACTTTCACTAAGATTGAAAAATTACTTAATGTTAACTAATTTTGATAAGTATTTGAGGTTTATTGTAAAATGTCCTTTGTTGTTATTGGAGGAGTGTTAAAAGTTAGGAATGCAATCCCATTGCATTTGTTATTTATAAATTGTATGAAGCTAAATAAAAGATATTCAAGCTATGAGGAGTTTTTTGTCATTATGCAAGATCTTTATTAGTGGAGACTTTACTTCTTATCAAAAGATTTTGTTCTGTATTGCGATCATCAAGATTTGAAATATTTAAATTCCTTAAAAAAGTTGGGATAGATATGCTAACATGCAGTTTGACTGCCAGTATTTTGAACTCATGCAGTTCGATAATACAATATTACAGTTTAAAGTAAATGCAATCTATTCTAATTTCTCAAGGATTTTTTTTGCTTGCAAAGTAAATGCATGAAACTAACTTTTTTCATTTGTTTGGACGTAAAATTTAGAGTATGGGGTCTATGGGTATGGTACTATTGAGGATCCTTTCACATGCATACAATTAATGCATAATGAGACTTTAGATTAATGATTTTATAACTACTTTTACATAGTGTTTGTCAACTGTAAACAACTAAATTAGCTTTAAATGTGCCACAATTGTGTTCTTTTCATTGATATCAAGCTTCAAGCAGCAAATGGTAAAGTCAGCATCAATCGGAATCGATGTGGATGACATCTATGACAATTGGAATGGTAATATGATAGATGACGGCAACGACAAAGAGAAGACACTTTGGCAACATAGACAATGATGATAAGATATAGGAATAACTAGAAGTCTTTAGATATTTCCGTTTGAGCTTGAAGATTTAGTTGACAATTACCTTCACCGTCCAAGATATCCGCTTGATGTCCCCATCCATGCACATCATTATTGTGGGTAGAGTGGAGTAGAGTGCAAAGGTTAAGGAATGGGATTTAGCCTTTTTATTGTAGAGGAAATGGTGAAGAAGGGTGCGCAAGCAATAAGATGAGGAATGCTTGTTGACCTTCATAGTTGTGCCACAAATTTACTTGAACAAAGTTAATGATAATAGTGAAATATTGATGTAGTGCTGCAAAAGATTGCCTTAAGATGTCTTGCCCATAGTCAAAAGTGCTCAACCATTGTTTGTCTCATACACTAGATCATAATAATGCATCATCAACACGTTGAAAATAACCTAGGGTAGACTCCCATATTGCTTAATTCTCCCCACAATAAAAGAAGAAAATTCCCACTAGCCAGCCAACATGAGGATGACAATTTGTGTGAGGAATGAGAAAGTTGTGAAATGGAGAGTGCACAAACATATGATATCACTTGTTATCATAAATATAATGAAGAAATTATACAATAACAACAAGCCTTTATCCCACTACGTGGGGTTGGCTACATGAATTTTTTTTTCTCCATTATGTCATGTTAAGAGTCAAATTCTCATTTAAATATAATAAAAAATGTCATTTCTAATATTTTCTAACCAAGTCTTCTTAGGTCTATCTTTACCTTTCTTAATATAGGCCAAATCTAATACATATAATCTCCTAATCTGTTCATCAGAAGGCCGACATTTTATGTGACTAAATCATCTAAGGCGACTCTCTCTAATCTTATTTGTTACTAGAGCTACTCCAACATTTTCACGAATATGCTCATTTCGCATTCTATCTCTATGAGTAAAGCCGCCATCCATCTGAGCATCCTCATTTCTGCAACACTTAACTTAATTTTATGCTTCCCTTTTAATGGACAACATTTTGCATCATAAAGCGTTGCAGGTCTTACCACTATCTTATAGAATTTTTTTTAAGTTTGATGGATACTTTTCCATCACACAACAGATCCGATGCATTCCTAAACTTCAACCATCCAACTTGAATTCTACTAATAAAATTCTATTATATTTCACTATCACTTTGGACAATAGAATCAAGATATCTAAAATGTGTACTCTTATTAATGACTTGATCGCCCAAAGTCACAATGCCCTACTAGATCTATTACTACTAAAATTACACTCCATATTCGATTTGAGATATTCTCAAAAAAAAAAAAAAACCTTTAAACTCTTAGGTTGACCTCCATAATTCAGGTTTATCTTCAACTCTCTCTAGTCTTATCAACAAGAAGAATATCATCAACAAAAATCATACACTTGGGTACAATCTCCTTCAAATATCTAATAAGAACATCCATGACTGAAGCAGAAAGATACGGGCTTAAAGCTAATCCTTGATGTAATCCAACTGAAATAGAAAAATACTTGATCAAACCACCTTGTATTCGAACACAAGTAACAATTCCTGCATATACAAGCATATATATTTTTTATGACTTGAATATAAGCATTATTAACTCATTTCTTTTCTAGAACTTTTCATATCACTTCTCTTGGAACTTTATCATAAGCTTTATCTAAATCAATAAATATCTTATATAGATCCTTCTAATTCTCTCCATACTTCTCTAGCAAACCTCTCAATAAATGTATAGCTTCCATAGTAGACATACACGGCATGAATCCAAATTTATTTTGGAAACATTAGTATCACATCGTAACCTATGCGCAATAACTCTCTCCCATTGTTTTAAGTATGACATATTAAATTAATTCCTCTATAATTTGCACACTCTTGTGCATCATTTTCATTCAAAAAATAGGAATCAACACACTCCACTCATCAGACATCTTCTAGTCGTAAAATAATATTGAAAATAAATAATAATAATACTGATAATTAATAGAATTAAAATATTAAAAGCATGTTAATAATGACAAAATAAAGTCATAGGAATAATAATAATAATAATACGTATGTAATAATAAATAAATAATAATTAATTTGATTTTTTTAAAATAATAATATCAATTAATTATTTTTGAATACATATATATACACTTAGATACTCTTAATTCTTTTTTTTCTATATTTATTATTCTAAAAATTTTGTAGTTGTCCAAAAGTTCTGCATCTACTTTACATTTGTTCATTTTCCCACTGCACCATTCAGAATTGTGTCATTCATCCCCCCCTCCCCTCTTTTCAACAAAAATATAAAACAATACCCTTTACCAATACTCCTCCACTTACATGCACACTTCATGCATCTTTCTTATCCTTCAACTCTCATCTATTAATTTCCAAGGTCTCCGCTTGTATCCCACACCACCTCCCTCAACCTTACATCCCTTGCGTCCATCATCGACCAGAGCGCGCAACCTTACCCATCTTTGTACATACTCATGAGTGAACACTGTTCATGCTCCAAGCAATCACTATACCAGACCACCTTTGTCCTTCTATTCTCCTCTCGAAACCATCACCAAATCCAATATTGACTACCCTCTATTTCATTTTACCTCACGCTTCACTTGTTTCTTCCTAATATCTTTGCAAACTATTGACCTCTTTTAACACCCTCACCCATCACCAAAACTCATGCAAATCCTCAGTTGCCTCTCAGGACACCTCACACAAAAAGAGCCACCTCATTTGCACGCCCCAAGTTAGCCACCGATAACTCTTATGGCTGCTACAACAACTGACTCAACTCAATATCTTCATTAGCTCTTCACCCAGAACTCTATAACTCTTAATGTAGGAACTCTCAATAGATATATCTTTTATGAACATTATTTCTCTCTCCCAACATCAGCAACCACATCAAGCGATGCTCCAAAATGGTGATTGTTGCTCCTCCCGTTGAACTTATTGGCACCCTCCAAAATTCTCTTTCTTGACCACCTTCTCTCAGGCCAATGCATGCAATCCCAAGCTTCAACAATCTCCCAAACCATCTGTCCTTATGCGCCACACGAAATTTGGTAACGCCGTATGGCTCGTAACTCTTATCAACCCAATGCTGGCTACATCCACATGCAAACTACTCTTCCTTATTGCCAACTTGTACTTGCAATTTCTTTGTCTCTCTTTATCCATCTCTCTCTCTCTCTCTCTCTCTCTCTATATATATATATATATATATATATGTATGTATGTATGTATGTATGTATTTATTTATATACACAACACTTATAAAGTGGAAAAGACATAATAAGTGTAATTTTTGTCCCATGCAAATTTTGCCCTCGCCGTAACCTCTAAGTTGACCTGTCCTCTTGAATGTATAACACAAATGACATTTTGCTATTTCCTCATACCTTGTTTGTGATGCATTTTACATGACGAGTGAAACCATTCTATGCTTTTCTTGGTGTGGTTGTGGAAACTTGTGCACAACATGCTTGTTGCAGTGATTAAGCCTTGTGTGAGCAGCACAAGGGGAAAATATATTCTGTTGTAACTTCTCTTTTGTATTTGATCATACACGGTTTTTTTGGTGTGGTGTGGTAGAAGAGCCGTCCTTAGTGGTTTGCACCATCCACAGCTCTCTTTGCATGGTGGTGTAGGCCTACGATGTCTTTTGTTATCCCTTACATGGGATGATGCCAAAGTGTTACCCAATTCTTGTGTTTTTTCTCTTGAAGAGGACAATAAAAATATCTTTCTACAAAACATGAAAATTGAATAAAAACGAGCAAATAAAAAATTACAAAACAAGAAGTACAGAATAATTTAAGTCATGCTACAAGCCACGTAAAAAAAATAGTACATTGAACTTGGCAGCTCGGCTATGAGCACAGACAAAAGATAATTTGCTCTTGTTGAAAAATGTGTAAATAAACTCATGAATATACAAGATTGTGCTATTTATGTTTCAAGAGGTGCACAAATCGTTGACATTCGACCTAAAAGAATCTTATCTATAATCCTCCATTAGATATTTTTATGCAATTTGTTCTTTATACTATTTTGGTTGATGAGATTGTTTATATTGTTGATAATAGATTTCAGAGATCTGTGTTCAGTAACAAGTTAGAGTTTGTTGTGAGAACTCATTGATTATTTTATTAGAAATGGAAGATCTGCCCCAATTTGCTTAATGAGTTTTGAACGTTGGCAGATTTGATGAAAAATTGCATGTTTATTCTTGTTGGAAGTCACGTCAAATAAGGCCCATGCAATGTCTATTTGATTATTTTATTTTATTTTATAGTTTTTTGTAGCTTGGAACATGCCTGAGATGATGGCCTTGAGAAGAGATGTCATAAATATGTATTAGTATTAGGTTGGTCTAGATGGTTTGGTTTTTAGATATCTTAAATTTCAAAGATCAATAGATGGCTATTGAAAGCTTAACTCATCAGAGTTGAATATTTGCCAAGTTGGCTAGATTTATGCGGTTATAGTTATTTTCTTTGGGATTGTGACGGTTATGCTATTATATTGGTATTGCTATTGTTTTTCTGTGGATGCTTGTTACATATGCTGTTTTCTCAGCTATTTTACTACAAATTTGTTGCTGCTTTGGATTTCTATTATTTGAGTTCTCATTAGAGTGTATAGTTCTTGCTCTATAAATTTTTGTTTGTTGTATCTATTGTAAAAAATCATGATTTAGGAATGATGTTTTTTTAAATGGCAACTTGAGAGTTATCTAAAATTAGATTGGGTTGATCATGTGGCAACCATATCTATTAACATATGGATGAGTCTATGAATATATTTATGAGGCATGTAAATTATTAACTTTGATTGAATAAAATCTCATACAATTTTCAATCTTGTTTGTGATAGTAGGATTTGTTCTTCCTTCGAATGCTGGTACAAGTGCAACTACTTAAGTTGGGGATAAGTCGATCCTTGTACCAGCATGAGTTCTAATTGTTTTTGGTGAGCCCTTTTTGACTTAAATTTTTTTTTTTGCATACTTTATTATTTGTTTGCTAGTGTTTAAGATTTTGTTTAAATTGGGCATAATTCAGATTCTATTTTGTGATGATTAAATTACAATTGTTCTCTAAGTTTAATGTGGTTCTAATATCTTGTCGGTTTCTTTGGGTTTATTTGATAATCACATCATCTGTTTGGTTCTATTTTTTGTATTTAGTGTCTGCATTTAAAGAAAACAAGTTGTTGACTATTTTGTGTTTTGTGATCTACAAATCTTAAGTTCTTTCTTGTGATTAATATACATCACATAATTTTAGTGAAAGAAATCTTACCTAAATCGTCTTGCATTAGCTGATCTTAGTACTATTTGTTTTCTCTTTCCTTTGGTTCATAAATTTTAGGGTAGAAATTGCACCCATAATATGGATAATATAATGTTGAAGGTTTAGGAAAGGATGCTAAATATAACATGGATATGAGTTTTGCTTAAAGATTTTTGTTATCTCATGCAACTCTTAATTATAATAAATCGAGAATTATGATTTACAAAGATGTAACTATTATTGACGATGAGATCTATTAAATAACAATTGTCAACTTTTCATACCATTATGAATTCTAGTGATTTCTTTCTTCTTGATAGCTTGTATATACTTTGTTATTGGTTTGTTTGTGCTCTTGATTTTGTTCAACTTTATCATAACTGAGATTTTAGTCATGGGGATTAAAATGTAATTGCTTGCTGATTTGATGTGTTTCAAATATTTTGTTGATTTCTTTGAATTTATTCGTTCACTATATTTTTATTTGTGTTCTAATTTTTGTATTTACTGTTTTTATTTAAAGAAATAATTTGTTGGCTTATTTTGTGATTAATGATCTACAAAAACTAAGTTTTCTTAATGTGATTTATAATCAATTAATTCTAGTACATGAACCCTAACCCTAAACTGTCATGCATTAGCTGATTTTAGTGTTATTATTATTTTAGTTTGGTTCATAAATTTTAGGGTAAAACTTGTACCAATAAGATGGATTTTTATGCAAAAGGATTAGGAATGAAGAAGACCAAAGATAATATAGATACAAGTTGTGCGGAAAGGTATGTGTAGAATAGGATTATCATGCTATTTAATATCCTATAGTAATGAATGAACAATCAGGATTTATTAAGATATATCTAATAATGACGATTATTGAAATTAAATAACACTTGTCAACTCTGCATGCCATGAATTATGTATCTTATCTGGTAGTGCTTAATTTATGTGCAGTTCGTTGTTAAACTGTTTAAGTTAGCATCTTGGTTGCCCTAACTTGTTTTGTGGGTTCCTCGAGTATTCAGTCCGATGTTGTTAATGTTATAGTAGCTGCTGTTGATTTGATCCATCCAACTAGAACAGCATCTAAATGATAACTTAGATTTGGACGGCTTTTTTCCTGCTTCTTAAATCAGCTTTTTAGCTAGAAAACTGCTTTAAGAAGCAATAAAAAAGTCGCCCCAAACGAAGCCTTTGAAGTTTGAAAAGGCAAATGCATTGTAATTTCTCCCTAGATTAAAATCTTTTACTGTTATATTAATTCTAATAATATCTGTTTCTATTTTTCGTATAAACTTTCTTATCTCGAGTTTGGATAAACGCTGCACCATAGATTGAGGTCTTCTATTGTTATAGAAGTGCCAATGATATCTATTACTTTTTCTGGTGTTAAATTTCCTAATTTAAGTTTGTATAATGCAGCAAAAGCCTAGTGTTTTCTCCAATCTTCAGCAAGTTCCTCAAAGCTCCTCCAGCTCCAATCTTCCTGCTGGGCATGCAATCCCTCAACACCTTCATATCAATCCTTATTCCCAAGCAACTCTACCTTTAGGCCCATTTCCTAACGTGATTAGCTATCCATTCCTTCCCCAGAGCTACACTTACCTGCCTTCAGCTGCTTTTCCCCAAGCATACACCAGCAATGCTCCCTTCCATCAGTCTACTTCAGCAGTCCACAATGCTGGCTTAAAATACACACTCCCACAGTATAAAAGTAGCTTGCCAGTGACCAGCTTACCGCAGCCGGCTTCCGTAGCCTCTGCTTATGGAAATTACAATGGCTCCGCTAATGTTCCTGGGAATTTCATCTTGAATCCTTCAAGTACCTCTACAAGTACAGCACTAGGATTCGATGAAGCTTTAAGCTCTCAGAAAGAAGGCGCTCATTACCTCCACCTTCAGCAGGTAAAGATCTCATTTGCCACTGCACTTCAACTGAAGTGACTCTTTTCTTGCCTAACCTTGGTCCTTCTTGTTGCTAGAATGAGAGCTCACCCATGTGGATCCACAATGGCAATTCCAGAACCATTTCACCCCTTCCTCCCAATACTTTCTATGGCTTCCAAGGGCAGAATCAGCTCAACAACTTCAGACAGGCTCAGCAATCTGCACACTATGGACCCATGGGCTATCTTAACTTATATCAGAATCATCAGCTAGGTGGACAAGCACAAGAGCATCAACAGAATCCTGGTGAGGTGAACCTGAATAGTTCTCAGGGAAATTCTTCGCAGTCGCACCAGATCTGGCAGCACGGTTATTGATGCAGATTTTCCACTCTAAGCTTGGGAAGTGTGATGGCCTGTTTATGTGTTACGGTTAGATCATGTGAAAGCTCAGTTGAGTGTTTCTGTCTGATCAACTGTGTATAAACTGAGTATCTTACAGGCTGCTATTCTTTGGCTCGAGCTCCATGTATTGCAGGCGTTGAGTGTTTTATGGCTTGTAGCGTTTTGTGTGTGGGGGTAATTTAGAAATGCTTTAGTTGGTGCGTGTGAGTGAAACGTCTATGCACTGTTGCTCTGTTACTTTTAGTTTTAAGTTAATCTAACAAGCTTCTGATTTCCTTTTTTTTTTTGGGAGAAAATAACGTAGCAGATGTTCTTCCCAATGCTTGCTTTTATGCTTGCGTAGTTGATTTCACGGTTTTAAATCGGCTATTTCAGAGCCAAATTTTTATTCAGTTATGTATATATAAAGAGTGTTTGGTTTAAAGCACAAAGACTTGCAAAATAAAAATTTAGGGTTAGTGTGCATTATTTCTCACTCTTTGTATTTCCAAGTCGATCATATTGTTTGGTTTTTAAAATCCAGTGCTCGCATGCCTCTCGCAGTGCGTGCGCTGGAGGATGTCTTCTGCTTCCGTCAATCTCCATCACAAGAAAAATTATTATGTACGGACACCGGACTTCGTTCGGAGTTGAATCAAAGCGTGTCATGCCACTCTTTTACTATGTAATGCTGTTGTGTACTGCTGTATATTGGGGTGATGTGGTGCGTTTTGATTCTCCGTCGAATTGTCCGGTGTCCGCATAGTCAAAAGAAAAATTTATTATGTGTGGACACCGGACTTCGTTCGGAGTTGAATCAAAGCGTGTCATGCCACTCTTTTACTATGTAATGCTGTTGTGTACTGCTGTATATTGGGGTGATGTGGTGCGTTTTGATTCTCCGTCGAATTGTCCGGTGTCCGCATAGAATAACCTCTCCCATCACCAATGATGCCCCTCGACCCCTTCCATCATCGTCAACAATCTTCTCTAGCTTTAGATCATGTCTCTGCTTTCCATATTTTCTCCAGCTTAATTCGCTCCTACATCTATATTTCCATATTTCCATATTCTCTACAGCTCAGACTTTCCCAATCTCTCCTATATTTATTTTGCATTCTGCAAACTTTTAGGAGATTTATATACATAGCATGTAAGATTCACTCTTTTAAATATCCGATGAAGTAAATAAGGTAACACTCTTTTTCTGTTTTTCATGGGTACTCTGAATCTTTTTTTTAGTATTGTCTCTGGCAATCCTTTCTAAAGAGATTACATTGCAACTTCTCTTTTAAGATTTTATGGCGACTCTTTTGTTTGTGGCTTTCTCTTCTCAAGATGACTCTCCTTTTTATCACACTTTCGGACATTGATACGCAACAATGAGATTTCTATCTCATTATAGTAGTTCATGACCCAATGAGATCCTATCGTTGTTCTTTTATTTGTTAATAGAAGTTTAATTTTTTATATTTATAAAAAATTAAAATTATGTGTTAAATATATAAATAAATGAATATTTATTTTACAATTAATTAAATAATACATATTATATATATAATTTATATGTATTATTAAAATACATACACTTTTAAAAACATTAAAATACAAGAGAGATTATTATGTAAGGAATCTGAATGCGGCTAAGGGTGTTAATTTCGGGTTACGGGTTGGATTTGGGTCGAACCAGAAATTGACCCGGCACTATTCGGGTCCGGGTCAACCCAACACGACCCGAATGACCATTTTCCAACAAAAAATTGCTAGTTTTCAGGTCAAAAATGGGTCTATCTCATTTTTTGGGTCAAAAAGAGTCAAAATCGGGTCAAAATCCGGTTTTCGGGTAAAAAATGGGTCAATTTCGGATCATTTTCAGGTCAAAGGGTTAACTCGAACCCGACCCGATTTTTGAAACAGGTCGAAATGTTGAAGCCGAACCCGACCCGTTTCGGATTCGGGTTGACTCTAAACTGAAATTTTCGGGTCGGATTTGAGTCGGATTTTCAGATCGTGTCAAATATTGGAACTTTTATTTGGTCCGGTGACCGGACGTAGATCTACGTCCGGTCACAACTGAGATCGCGCCACGTAGCAGGCACAAAACCGCGGACCCGACTCGGCGAATAGTGGGTATGTCGCTCGTGCGTATTTTAAATCCATGACAACCTGATATTGCTCGGTATTGCTAGTATTGGTCGATTTTGCTCGACAATAACGAGAAATACCATTTTGTGAAGACAAATACCGAGCAATACCGATTTTTTCTAGAGAAAACTCAGTATTTCTCGGTATTGGTCTTCAGAGAGCGGTATTTCTCGTTATTGCCAAACAATACCTAGCAATACCGAGCAAATACCGAGTAATACCTAGCAATACGTGAACATAGCAATCCCGGGTTCCGGTTCGGGTCAAGTTGTCAGGCCGCGCGGTAAAGAATGAGAGCGACATGTTATTGGCGGCCGAACGTAAAGCTATGTCAGGTCACATGACTTAATAATTGTTCCAAATATTGACACCCCTAGACGTTGCCCATCCAAATTAATATTCTTACCAAATCGCAGCCCCTAATTGCTTTTGAAATACTTTTTATGTTGTAAACTTCAGATGTTAATTTGATAGATTAGTCAATGGCAGTTTAGGTCCCAGTTGTTGTCCTTAACTTCCAGGGGCACGGGAGTCCATGGAATGCACGTTCAGGATAAATGGTTCATCGTCGTCTTCGATCACAAACGAGGGCGTGAAAGCGAAAAGGTAGGTAGGGTAGAGGGCGGGAGGTGGATATTTTTCCGGTGCGTTTTGCTCTTTTTGAAGGAAATAACCTAATAATTTCTATCCTTTTCAGAGTAGTTCAAGGCGGTGAGCGTTGCCGGAAAAAAAAATAAAAAAACCCGTAGCTACTTTGTATCTATTCCTGTATAGAGTGGAGTGAAGCCAGCTCTTCTCTTCTATACGATTAGATTCGATTCTTCTTTCTTGTTTCTGCTTCTGTGAGGAGCTCTCCTCAATGGCGATTCAGGCGTGCGCACTTGGCCTCGGATCTGACTTCTACGACTGGAGGTGGGGTAGGCTTGCAGTTTGCCTGCAACCCGTCTCTGCAGGACGAATGCTCCGGGTATGTTGCAAGATGCGAAATCGGAATACTGGCAGGTTATTCTCTCTCCCCTTCCCCTGTCTTACTCCCTTTCCCACGCAGACGCACGGTTACGTGTATCGTTTTTAAGTTTTTTTAGTCTTCGTTGTTGAAGATTGATGACATCTTGATTGTTTTCTTGTGTATATGGTCGTTCAGTTTGTTCAACAATCCCTCATTTCTAGGAACTGGAAATAGTTTCTGATAATTGTATGATGGAAGCTCGATTGACTGTTTGGTCTTTCAGCTTCTGCAAGCTGGTGTTCTTAAAACAATTACAATGCAAGATGGGCTGGTTAATCCCCACCTTCTTGAACCCAACCACAAAACAAATGCGAAATATGCTGTGTTGATTTTAAATTTGGGTGTCGTGGTGCTTGCTTAGTGGGATTGTTTGCTCTCCAGAAATGGAACTTTTATTTGGTCCGGTCACCTGACATAGCTCTACGTTCGGACGCCAGTAAAATAGTGCCACATGTTCTCACTATTTACCGCGCGGCCCGACAACCCCGACCCGGAACGGAGATGGGATTGCTATGTTCGCGTGTTGCTAGGTATTGATCGGTATTGGTCGATTTTGCTCGGCAATAACGAGAAATACCATTCTGTGAAGACCAATACCGAGCAATACCGAGTAATACCGAGCAATACCGAGTTTTTCTCGGTATTGCTCGGTATTGGTCTTTACAGAGCGATATTTTTAATTATTTCCAAGCAATACCTTGCAATACCGAGCAATACCTAGAGCAATACCGAGCAATACACGAACATAGTAATCCCGGGTCAAGTCGTCGGGCCGCGCGGTATTGAGTAAGGCCACGTGGCGATATGTTATTGGCGTCCGAACGTAGAGGTACGTCAGGTCACCTGACCTAATAATTGTTCCTAGAAATGATATCAATGCTTTCAAAGATTTATCTTGTTTCCTTTTTTGCTTTACCGTTGCTCACTTTTTCTGACTTTCAAAGAATCATGGCGTGCTAAATTGAATTTTGTTGCGTATTTCATTTGCTAGTTTTATGCAGAAACCTTTTCCGTGGACGATCCTGGATTTGTATTGAGGGGCTAGAGTAAAAAATACTACTACTTTTTTTGGAGTATGCGAATTCATATGAAACATAAATTTGTTTATTATATTTTATCACATAAAAGAATATAAAAATATGCAAAAAATTTGTGGTATAATTTGTGATTTTCTTGCTATTTGATTTATGTTGATGGCACTAAAATTTTTTGTTCTGTAAGGGTGGATCTTATGTTTGTTTTCCTGAATTGCTGTAGGTCTTTTTAAAATTAATTTCTTGCTCTTCTTCTATTTTAGTAAATCTAATCTGTGATTGTGATGCGGGCAAAAGATATAGGGAGTCTATACCCTTCGCCCACAAAAGACACGACGGACTTCTAAAGACGAAATGGACTAAGGACGAGAAAAGGGACTAGAAAATCAACAAAAGGGAAGAACAAATTCTTATATTTCAAATAAAATTAAACAAAAGAAATTATAATGACGACTTACAAACAACATGACAGACACCCTAAAGTTGCTTCATTGTTGAGAAGAAGGATACAGGTGGAGTGGCACTTGCGGAGAGACGAAGAGATTAGAAGCCCGAGAAGAAAGGGTGGAAAGAGCCCGCAGGATTTCCGGAGGGGATGAGAAAAGAAGGTTGAAAAGAGCCCGCAGGATTTCCGAGCACCCCGCAGGTTAACCGATTTTTTCCAGAAATCAAATATCATTCAACTATTCAAAACCAAGGTTTAAAATTGCGTATTCGGGTATTGAGGCGTTTTTCGTTCGTGAGGCGAGGCGTAAGCCGCTGGTTTGGAATTCCAAGAGACAAACATTAAACAAGCATAAAAAGCATAAAACTATATTAATTAAAAGATATTAAATGAACTAAAATGTTAGCTCATAATGAGCTAACCCTTAGTTCAATAAATGACCTAAAGTTCAGCTCATAAATGAACTAAAAGTTTAGCTCAAATATGAAAAACTACTAGACTCAAGGGAAGCCAAAATATGATTTATTTTGGACTAGGGTTGACCCCCCCTTTGTCTACATCAGATTGTGAGACAATATTTTGAAAATAGAGGACTTATAATATGAATAAATATGGAGTATATTGTATATGATATGCAATTTTATTGGGGATAGTATTAACAATAATCAGTCAATATTATTATAAGATAATTTGATACCTGAGTATGATAGATTTAAGTGTCTTGGATATACTATACAAAAAATGGAGATAGAACTTTTTGAGGCAAGACTGGATGATTAAAATGGATGATTGGCTTTAGTGTGCTCCACTATTCAATCTAATTAAGCACTACAAAAACATTGATCAACGGAAGTAATGGTGTGCAAGCTTGGATCTAAATGGATTGCAATATATAAAAAAAGACTCAAACATTGTTCGTTTGTAAAACTGGTTGCATGGATGTGTCCATAGAGTTGAAAAGGGCTAGGGAGGACACCCATATTGTTGAATTTTCTTCAAGAAGAAAAGATGTAAATTTCATGCAAAATGAGGATGAAAATGAGAACAATGTGCATGATAAAATACAAATTCATGAGAAAATAAATCGAATATTCACTTGTGTATGAGGCACAAACAATGCAAAATTAACGTCCATGAAAGGCATATATTTATGAGAAAATCAATGCACGCATGACTATAAATAATCTTATCACATCTTTACCATATTGCTGCCCACAACCTATTCAATGAGTACAATCTCCTCAACCCGGAACCCTCGTTGCATTCCCTTAAATGCTTATGGATTCAACCATGTCTCTTAAACCTCTTATCTTGCATCATGAGTGATGGTGGTGGGTAGCTTTTTGGTGAGGCTAATGTCTAGTAAGGCCTATGAATATTTAGTTTAATATTTAGAGAGATGTTTTGGAGCTTATAGTGAAATAATGAGCGGTTTAGAGAGATATATTAGTAGGAATGCCAGGATTAGTTTAGTTTAAGCTAATTTGAAAGATCACTTTAGGGAGTAATTTTTATATGAGTAAATGACTGGAAATAACGGTGGAAGGGTAGTTTAGGATGTGAACTTGTGATATGGAGTTGATGGTAGAGTTAGGTGAAAGTTTAAGAGGATGTCGAGAGGTGTATAGAATAATACTAGATTCAAGTGTTCTCTAGTCGGGTTTAAGATGATTTGGAAGATCACTTTATGATTGACTTTATGTGGGATAATTGACTAGAAATGATTGTGAAAGGTTGTCTTAGGATGTGAACTTATGATATGGAGTTGATGATAGAGTTATGTGGAGTTTAAGAGGATGTCGAGGTATAAAGAATAAGATTAGGTCTAAGTATTTCATAGTTGGGCTGATGACTCGGTAGATGTTTTTAGAATGGGTTTGGGGTTTTTGTTCCTGGTTTATTTATCTTAGAGGGTGCTTATAAAGTGGAGGATAACTGTGGAGAGTTTGGAGTAGCTGCTTAAGAAGCTTTGTGAATAAATTAAAGAAATAAATATTACAACCTTATCCCCAAAGAAATACACACATTTGAATCCCCCAAGCATCAAACAAATGAAAAGCACTTTTTTACAAAATTATTTTATTTCAAAAACTAAAAATTGCAATGCATATCAGGCTATATTTATAGTCATCACAAATGTAACTTTTGGAGAGAAAATGGAGGGAAAAAGGGGTGGGAAAGAGGAGGTTGGTGGATATTAAAGAGGAGTTCTAACCGCTCTTTTTTTTAATGCCTTTTGGTGGAACTCTGTAGAGTTTAAATCTATGTAGATTTCTATTAATTATGGTCAAAGTTTCTAAGTTAGAATGAGTTAGCCATGTATCATCACTATTCACTAGATGGTTTATTCTTCCAAAGAGCTAAAAAGCGATGCCAAATAGTTAGATCATTTGATGCTGATCCTGAAAAGGCTGCTTTTGATCAACTATATGTTTGGTTCAAAAGCTTGAATGCTAGATGTTCACGAGGAACTTGGTTTTCCACATTAGCGCTGGTTGCATGTAGATCCGTGTTCTTAGCATGAAGATGTTAGGTGGGGGAATGCTCCTCTTCAGGTGAGGTAAACTTGCAAAAAGATTCTTGAATTTTTATGGAAAATTGCAAATTTGAATTGCTGAACGAGCTGAAAATTTTAGTTGCTTATAGACAGCTGTTTAGTTTTGTGATTACTTTTTTTGGCTCCTTACCAATAATATGCATTTTTTTATATTACATATAATTCTTTTTCCTGCGTTACATCTCTGCAGTTCACTTCATAAGAGGCATCAAAATAAAAAAGCATCCGAGCGATTGACATTGAATACAAATCTTCAATCCCAGAGTGATGAAAGCAAAGAAGTTAACAGTTCAAGTTCAGAAGATCTTATGAGTCCTTTTCAAGATAAGCTTTCAGATGCTGATCCTATTGAAGATTTACCTACGATGGCTGATGACATAAGATCTTCTACAGGAGAGAAAAGTATATTTGTAAGTCCCTTCTATCATTTTGGGGGTAATTTTTATAAGATCAATACTCTTGAGTAGACCTTTTGTTGTCGTTTGTATTTTTTTGGGTTATAAGAATGCACTGATGCAGTTTTTGATATTATTAAGTTTAATGTGAGTTAATTAATGAATATTTTGAGTATGTAAGTGATATTCTAATTGTTGCTCAAAGATTTCTGCTAATGCTAGTTTTTGCTCTTAGGATGGAGCACAACTATTATTGCAGGATTAGGTTTTTAATGTACATAGGATTCCTTATTATTAATCGGTAAATGATTCTTATTGATAATTTTGATGGTAATGTTTCTGCATTCTATGATACTTTTCATGTTAGCGTCAGTCTTTCTTGTCATAATTTTCTAAATTCCTGTCTTGAAGCCCTTGCTGATGTTGTGGTTGGGTGGTGGTCTTTGGAATTAAAAATAGACAATAATAAAAAAAAAAGGTTTCAACTTTGGCGTAGAGGGTTTTAGGAGGCAGGTGCATTTGTTTAATCTTGCACATTTTTGTTTATGAAAATCAAAAGGCATCAAAGTTTTTATGTAATGATGATTTAAACAAAAAGAAGTCAAAGTTGAAGTTTTTAATTATGATGGTAAAATTGATACTAAGTTTTTTGGTTGGTAGACATAAATTTTTTGAATGTCGAAGTCTCTAATGAATGACAATTATGATTTGCTTAGATGCATACAACTAGTCAACCTGGAATTAATTTGTTGAGGAGGAAGAGGCAAAGAGAGATTAAACAGGGATCCTACAAAAACTTTGGCTAAGAAGAAAAGTATTTGCCTTTATTATATCGAGATCTTTGGCTTGATAACTTTAATTTGAAACTATACTAAGGGTTCGTTTGATTTAAAGTAAAGTGGGTGTAAAGTATTTCAAATATAAAGGTTTTGAAAATATTAGTGTTTGGCTTGATGCGAAAAGAATGCTAAGTAAAATTTTTTGAAGTATTCTGAATTCATTTTTGATTCAATTTGGTGTATTTGAAAATCATTTGATTTGACTGATTCCCAAATACACTTTAAATTCATTGTCGTCGTCGCTGGTAGCCAGCTGCTAACACCTGCCATTGCCATTGCCTCCTGCTGACCACCTCCGCCACTAGTCGCTAGCAACCACCACTATCGCTGCCTGTTGCAGGCAGTTGCTTGCCACTAGTCGCTGCTGCTGGCCACTAGTCGCTGCTACTGGCCATCGTTGGGCTTTACATTGTATTCATTTTATTTCGAGCAAAACAAAAAATCTACATTTATTTTACACCATCCAAATAAATAAAAAAGATTTTAAATACATTGCATTCATTTTATACCACATTTATTTTACACTACATTCTTTTCCAGCAAACCAAATGACCCTTTAAACAATATATAAACTATTTTGGACACATGAATAAATTTTAAGAACTGTTGTTGCATTCAGAAATCATTAAATATCCTAAAAATCACACCATCTAGTTTTAGATCTGGTTTATAAGACTTGCTATCAAGAGAGAGAGAGATAGCGCTTCACCGCATTCAATTATAAGAGCATGCTTATGAACTTGCATTAGACTTTCCTATATCTAGGGTTACTATATATTCATGGAGTGCATTATTTAGTGATAAGAATCAAGTTTTGTTTGTTGCAACTACAACATCTAAGGATAGTTATACTTTAGTCAGTAAGGATGCTGGCTGAAGGGAAATCAACCGCATGTACATGTGGTTTAAAAATTTCTGTAAAGGTATGTTTGAAGTGTCATCAATTGGTCGTTATTTTAATAAATATTATTGTAGAACTTTGATATAAATGTAAATTTGGAAGATGATGAAATTACTTCTCATGTTGATGTTTATAAATTTGATGAAAAAATTAATGATTCCGAGGATGATGTAATTAATAAATTTTCTAATGTCATGCATTGTATCATTAGCTACTTCTAAGTTTGAATTTGTTTGGGAGTTCTATTTTTCAAGCATATTTCCGACATATAAAGAAGCTTTGCAAACTCATAATTAATAGTAATAGTTATATGAATGTTGTATTGAAGATTGTCTTAAATCACATGAATTTGAAACCTGTTACGACATACACGATCATATAAGATAGCTTAGGTAGATAAAATTGCTTTATCTATGCATCAAGGGTGTCTAATTCTAATTCAATTAGCTACCTATGCTGATAAAATCCTTGTGATGGGCTGCCCATGAATGATGTTCATGTTGTTTTGGATAATTTCTGGTTGTGTGATTTATATGTTAATGATTTTGTAATGTTTAATATATATGCTTTCAAGAGTATTGGGAGAATGTTAGTTTTTAAATCTATAAAACCTAAGAAAAAATCTAGATATAGACAAGAAGCTAGCACTCCTAGTGTATAAGAATCTAATGCTCTCAATGTGATGTAAAGTCTTTGAATATTCCGAGTGAACTTACATTCAAAAAAGAGTATAACAATGGAGTGTTATCCATGTTTTAGTAGTTGCTGAGTTAAATAATGTGATACCTGAAGTTATGATTCTACTTGATGATTTAAATGAGTGTTGAATGATTTTAAACATATTTATCTTGATAAACTTTATAATAAATTTCGATCATCAAGGGATATATATATATATATATATATGCCAAACTATTGATTTAGTTTATAGAATGTCATTACTTAATTTGCCTCATTAAAATATGAATTTATTAAAGCATGCGTACTTGAGAAGACAAGTGGATGAGTTAAGTTTCTTAGGATTTCTTATGGAAATCACGAGTCTCCTACTTTTCTTATGCCTAAAAAAGATGATGGCTGGAGAATGTGTTTAAACATTAAGTTCTTCGATAAAATATCTATCAAATTCAAAATTTTGATACCTAATTTGGATGATTTGCTATATAATGAACGGTGTTGCGATATTTTCTATTATTAATTTGAGAAATGGCTATTGTTACGCTAGAATAATAGAATGTGAAAAAATTATTTTTAAAATTAAAGATGGATTATATGAATGGTTGATGATATCTTTTGGATTAATTGATGCACCTAGTATTTTTATGAGGTTAATAAACCACATCTTGTGATCTTTCATTAGGGAATTTGTTGTTTACTTTGATGTTATGTTAATTTATTGCAAAACACGAGATTATCATTTAGCGCATTTAATAAGGTATTTGAGATTTTACAAATTGAGAAAATATATCAAAATTTGAATAGATTATTTTTTTTGTGACTCTGTCTGTAATCTTCCTAGGTTTTGTTGTGATGTGAAGAGGGAGTATATGAATTTAAACCCCGTGATAAGTTTGTTGGAGCATTTAAATCTTAGATGACTTCCATCTAGAAGTTGTATGCAAGGAAGGCATGATCATTTAAAATTGTGCAACACAATGTAACTAATGCCTACAAATTATAAGTTTCATAAAATTCTAACAAATTCAATTTTATATGTATTTTCTTTAACCTTATTACATGAGCCTACTACCAATTCTTTAGATTTTATTCTCTTTCCACCCCTTCCTTTCAAGTCTACATCAAATCCTCTGCTAAATGCTTTAATGTAACTTATTCATGAGGTTATTCTAGATTTCTAAGTTATATCTATGATAAATGATGAATTTTACATGCTTTTTTTTTTCATAGGAGAGACAAACCTATCTATTATGATTCATGGATTACTCTATAAGATGCTCATAATTTATGTCCAGATTTGCTTACTCAATTGCTAAATTAGTCAAAATCCAATTTGTCTAAGTTGGGTTGTTTAGCTCCTAGTTTTCTACACCCAGTCGAGATATGAGTGGTTGATTGTGTCAAGATCATATCTCTTAAAGGAGTTAAAAAAGTCAACTCCATTAAATCATTTGATTTAGTGACTTAACCAATATTATCTCCTAGCAACAACTGCTTAACTTTGAGGGCCGTTTGCCCAAAAGTTTATCTTATAAACATGATCTCCCAAGTTGCTAGTCCAAACCCGACAACCATAGCCCTTAGATCGCTAGTTGTCTTCGATAAGAACTTCCTTTCGAGTTATTGTAATCCACTTGGATCCACCAGTTCCTATGGCTAGTTGCTTCTTTGCCAATACTTTCCTCTTCATTGCATTGGATCTACTCCAATTCCTCAAATTTGTAAGAACTCGCATTTGCTCTCCTGACTCAACTCTTATGGGCCTTTTCCTTAATGACATCTGGCTGGATTTCAGCAGGATGTTGTCAACTACTTTCTAATTTTCTCCCGTAGCTTCTACCATCTCCCTCAATTCCTATCATCCATTTCAGAAGAAGATCAACATGTTTTATCATGGCTTCCTTGGTGTCCTGCCAGATTGCCTTGGTCGGTGCCTGTGTTTCTTGCTACTACCTACACATTCCGACCACCACAACATCCCTTAGTTGGCATCCTCAAGTGGGGGCCATACAAGTTGATTCTTTTATTCAGCTCCTACCCTACTACCCATCTCCAACAGTACCTCCTTTTATTGGAGTTCCAACAGATCACTTTTGCTCTTCAATTGACAGCTCATTAAATTCTTTTCCACCATCGGCTTCCCAACTATCAAGCCTCGCTAATAGCTTTCTACTAATCAAATTCAGGTCAGTTAATTCATGGCATCTATTAGGCTTCTAACACCATGTGTATTAATAATCCAATCAGAGCACATTTCATCCAAAGTTCAATGGGATGCTCTGGGTTTCCTCCATGCAGGATTGTTAATCATAAAATGGATGCAAGCCATCGCATGTCGTTGTCATGCAATTGCAACTATTTGGGACAGCCAAACAGAAGTCGACCTCCCTATGAATCATCCTTCTTGATCTAATTTGAGAGATCTTTTTTCGATATTGAGATTGAACTCTTCCTCTCTTCCCTCTCCAATATCATTCTTTCCTTGACAGCACTATAGAACTGGGCAAGGTGGATCTTTCATATGTTATGTATATTTTATTTTTCATGGTAGAGCCCCCCACTACAGCACGGGTGCAGGCTATAAATTTGAACCATAAATTCACCATCTTCATGCCTTCTTTTGCCTCTTAAAATAGGGATGAATGTAACCACTCTTTTAAGACCCACTGGCTCTCAACTCCAAGTAGCTCTAAAACCGAATACATGGAGTGTAATTTTAGCAGTAATAGATTTAATGATGAGATTGTGACATTGGGTGATCAAGTCATTAAAAAGAGTGCACTTTTTAGATATTTCGGGTCCATTAGTCAAAGCGATGGTGAAATAGATGGAGATATTTCACTAGAATGCATTGGGCCTATTGTGTGATAGAAAAACACCCCTCAAACTTAAGTGAAAATTTTATAAAATGGTGGTGAGACCTACAATGATTTATGGCACAGGTTGTTGGCCATTTAAAGAGAAGCATAAAATTAAGTGTTGTAGAGATGAGGATACTCAGGTGGATGAGTGGCTTTACATTTGATAGAATGCCAAACGAGTATATACATGAAAAGGTTGGAGTAGCTCCAGTGGAAAATGATATAATAGAGAGTTGCCTTAGATGGTTTGGTCACATAAAACATCAGCATTTTAATGACTCAGTTAAAAGAGTAGATGTATTAGATCTGGTCTATGTTAAGACAGATAAATGTAGACCTAAAAGGATATGGTTGGAAATTACTAGAAATGATATTTTTTATTAGATTTAAATGAGAATTTGACTCTTAATAGGACACAATGGAGCAAAATAATTCATGTAGCCACCCCACGTAGTGGGATAAATACTTGATATTGTTGTTGTTGTACCAATTCTTGCTGAAATACAAAGATATTATTATCATTTTAATATTAATTGGGCTAAAAAGCTATTGGTGTTTGTTTTAATTTGAAAAAAGTGAGTTGTTGGATTGAGCAATAACTTAAGATATGTGAATCTTCAATTTTTCTTTACATTAAAGCATACCATCCATCATATTAATTGCATTAGAAAACTCTGACCCCGTCATCTGATATGACTTGTACTTCCCTCAGTTATACTTTTAGTACTTTGTACTCATAATGTGTATGGTGGAAGCAATCGAAACTATTGCAAAAATCATCTTATATTATATGTAAAAAATGTACGAGCTGGCAAAGAGATACAGTTTTTAACGGTTCATTTTGTAATGTTATGTTATTGTGCTGTCATGTACTATTGGAGGTAAAGTAACTCCTACTATCGTAGTCATGAATGAGTTGTTCAGCAAGTGTGTCTTCCATGGTTGTGATACAATGGTATTCTAGTTAGAGGTTTTCCTTGGTACGTTTCCTGTACAAATCAAAATTTAGCCTTTTGGAAAGCAAAGTAGTTGAAAGCATTTCTAATTGAAGTCGTTTTTTTATGCACCTTATATCCAAGTTGTGAGCAAAGTGATGTCTTGCCATTTTTTAATTTATTACTTTATTTTTAGCATCATCACGTAAAATAAAATCATGTTATAGATATATGGTAGTGTTTGCATCCTGATTAAGGTTTCAATGTTGATCTTCTATATGTTATCTATGTTGCATTCTATAGATTTAAAATAAGCATTTTGGAAATTTATTTATTACGCGGTCATCAAAGAAGGGGTCATAAATTGAAGGGGTAATCAAAGATAAACGTGATTAGAATTTGTGCAAGCAATGTTGCAGAAAATAGAGTTAAGAAAACTTTTGTAGCTATCAATAGAAATTAATAGAGGCTTCATGAAGCTGTCCGAATATAATTTCATTAAGGCTAATGATGATGACAGCTTCATCACTAATTTAGAGCTCACAAAAATTGTTTGAATTTTTTTTTTTAATTTATACATTTCGCTGAGGTGAGTTTTTTTTTTAATTACTGAAATTTTTGTATATGGTTATTTTATGTATTTTGCATGTTATCCAATTATAACCAATAAATAGCCGCAGTTACTTGTTTTTGTATTCTTTTGTTCACTGCCCTCAATATTTTCTTAAACATAGCTGGAGAATTTAAAATTGATGTAAGATGGATTAGCCCTTCAACAGATAGAAAATGCTGATGGTGTACAGCGGCTTCCAACTGATCAACTTGAAGATTTGACTGAAATGATAAAACATGCTGAGAAAAGTAAGCAGCATATATTCTGCCATTTAGCTTCTATTAGTAGTTTTTTCTCTTATTGTATAAGACCTAGCAAGTGCTAATATGTTTCAACAATATTGTTATAGATGTTCTACTTCTCAATCAAGCCCGAATTGGTGCACTTAAAGAATTAGATCGCATTCTTTCTGAGAAGGAGGCTTTGCAAGCTGAAATCAACGTTCTAGAGTTGAAACTGGATGAAACTGATTCAAGGCTTAAAGTTACTACCCAGGAAAAGATACGTGTGGAGTTTCTTGAAAAAGAGCTTGGGAGGCTGAAGAATGAGATATACTCAAAGGATAAATTTGATGGTAAAGTGTTGACTTCAGACTCTATTTCACAAGATGCCATTGATATTGCTTTTGTTGAGGAGCTTAATGCCTTGAGGGTAGAGAATGGTTTGTTAAAGGACGATATAAAAGCTCTGAATGAGAAGCTTATTGATGTTTCTGGAAAGGAAGAATGTATTTCAATGCTGGAGAAAGAACGGTCTTTGTTGGAGAGTTCAGTTGGAGAGTTGAAATCTGAACTGGAAGCTTCCCGGATTGATATTTCAGCGCTTTCTTCTTTTAAATCTGAATGCAAAGCCCTATGGGATAAAGTAGAAAATTTGCAAGCTTTACTTGGTGCTACAGCTGAACGATCAAAGCAAGCTGCCACTCTTTTTGAACAAAATCTTGAGCTCCAAGCAAAAGTTGATAAACTTGAAGCATCTTTGAAAGAGTCTAATGCGAATAAATTACCAGATAAGTCTCAAAAATACGATGAACTTTTGCTGCAGAAAATTGAAATGCTGGAAGAACGTCTTCAAGCAGCTGATCAGGAAATTCTTTCCCATACTATATTGTATCAGAAATCACTGGAAGAATTTCAACAATCAATTGAAAGGTTGAAAGAATGCAACCAGAAAGAACTAGGAGAGCATTTTGATGATATGCCTTGGGAATTTTGGAGTCGCCTATTGCTTATGGTTGATGGTTGGTTGATTGAAAAAAAAATATCCTCAAGTGATGGAAAATTGTTGAGGGAAATGGTGTGGAAGAAGGATCGTCAAATTTGTGAGGCCTACTTGGCTTGTAATGGGAAGCATGAGCATGAAGCTATTGTTACATTCCTCAAACTGACACAGCCTCAAACAAGGTAATATGTTTATCATATGCTAAAGTATTTCTTGATGCCATCAAATTAGATTATCTGATTCTCTTGTCTATTGTTGCTGCAAGCACAGTCAAGGACTGCATATTGTTCATATCGCAGCTGAGATCGCACCAGTTGCAAAGGTAACAAAGATTGTTGCTTATAGTATATGGCATAGTCATTGTCAACTATTCAATTGGAATGAATGCATAAGAGTGATATTTAAAGCCCGTTCTAGATAATTTGGGTAAGGCTAAGGATGTTTCTAGATACCGATCTGTTGACTATCAAGGAATTTGAACATTGTCACAAGGCCTAAGTGATCACTTAGGGAAAGTAACCCTCTATATCTCTTGGGATAGATTGGGCCAAATCTCTCTGGATGTTGGATTAAGGTTTATTTAGATCTCGAGTTAAGATTTTTTACAGGCACAATCAGCTTTAGTTAATTACCCCTCTCGATTATTAGAGAGCAATCTTGATTAAATAAGTTTAAGTTGTTATGTTCAAATTTAGTATTTGCTTAGTGTTAAATTTGATTGAATGTAGAATGGTAGGGGATGGAAGCAAAATTGATCAAAATCTCATGGATTTTCCATCCAAGGTCTTTTAGTGCACTATGTCCACTCACATTAAATGGCTTTGAGCCATAATGATGTAGGCAAGGGAGGGGTCAAAACAATTTGGGATTTAAATTTTGTGAGTTTCTTTATCTCTACTAAAAATCAGCTCATTAATGAGCTTCTTCTTCTTTTTCAGCTTATTAATATCTATTTGAGAGCCTTTTAAGCTCATAAATTGAAGATTAATTAGATTCATCCCCTACTCCTTATGGCTCTTAGGTTTCTTCCCTTGCCTTTATTTATGAATTTTTGGTTTCTTCTTATGTCTCTTTGATTTCCCCACTAGTACCTCTTCTCCTCCCCTTTGTCTTTTCATTTTCCTATGTTGGGAAGCATTCCCGTGCCTTGACTCTTGGATTTTCGTGACTAGTTGTTGGTTTCCTGTGCTGGGAAGGAAATCTCGTGCCTTTGCCCCCTTGGTTCCGTGAATGGCTGTTCGGTTTTTGGTTCCCTGCTTGGTTCCTGTGCTGGGCTGCTCGGTTTCACCGTTCCCTGCTTGATTCCCGTGAATTTCCCTTCTTTGTTTGCTGTGCCATTTGGGAACTAGTGTTTTGTGGCTGTTGGCCTTCCATTTGCTGCAGTTTTTGGACTGTTTATGGACAGTTTTTGGACTGTTTTGGGGGACTGATTTGGTGGCTGTTTTGGGGGGAATTCCAAGAGTTTTTCTCTGTTTTCTATGCAGTTTTTCTACTGCAGTTTTTGTGGGATTTTGTGCTGTTTTAGTGGATGTTTGTATTCCTTCTCATGCCTATATATTAGAGATGTTTTATGTTAAAAATAGAGTGAAAAAATGTGATTTTTGGAAAGAAATCTGAGGGTTTTTGGAAAAGCTTGCGAGCTTTGTCCACTTCTTCTTCTATCTCTTGGGGAGACTTGCGAGTTCTTTCCACCCTTCTTTTCGGCTTCTAACCTCTTTCGTCTCTCCGCAAGTGCCATTCCATTTGTATCTTTCTTCGCAACATTTGGCATGCAGTTTTAGGAAAGTTATTGTCTTTATTGTGTTGTTTGTTTGTGTCCAAGTTTGTAATAGTTTATTATAATATGAAAATTGTTTTTTTTTTTTTTAAGTTCAATTGTCATATTTAGTGTCTTTTTGACAATTCATGTCATTTCCTATTTCTTAGAAAGGTAGTCTTTTTGTGATAAAAAATTTGGGGTCCTCTCCCAAATTTTTGATTGCATTACATAATGTCCAAGAAGCATAATTAAAAATCATGGGTTGCCTCTTCTTGGGTGTCTTGAGTGAATTAGGGTGGAAGTGTGTATCAAAGGCATGCCTTTGACATTGATCGTGACTTATTCACAGGCAGAAGGCTTGTCTTGCCGAATTGAATAATTGTTTGAATGTGCGACATGGTCGCTTACAGTTCAAAGGATTTAGTGATGTGGAACGGGTAGGGGCTTAGCTAGGGAGAGGATCTCTTCTCCGAAATATGAGAACAATTTCAGCTTTGTCCCCCAAAACCTGAGAGAATTCAAATTTCCTTCTTGAAAGAGAAATAGAGTTTGGGAGAGAGGATGGGTTTTAATACTCCATTGAGGTGTTGATTGGGAAGAAAGAAATAGGGGAGAGAAGTAACCCAAGAGGAGCCTGTGAATGCTTCGGCCAACAGCAGGTTGGCTTGCCAATTCTTTCCCAAGAGGTGCATTGTCCCGTGGGCAGATTTTTTTGAGGAAACCAAATAAGGGGAGGCGGTAAGCTGGGAGGAATTAACAGGGAGAGGAGGTGACGGGATCGAGAGGGGGCGGGACTCCAAGTTTTCTGTCCAGGAAAACTGAAACAATTTCAGATTTTGGGATTAAAATCTGAGTAGAATTTCAGATTTTCCAAGTGTGGTAGGTAGGGAATTTAGATGGAGAGTTTAGCCGTGAGTCAAGAGAGGTATTCAAGAGAGATAAGGAGGATAGGAAAGAGATAGGGGGGCGGGTGAGAGAAAAGGGAAAGAAGGGAATTGATTTCCTAAATCAATGATTTGATTTAAGAAGTAATAGAATGCATTGGGGAATTAATTCCTAATTCCTCATACAGGGGTTGGCGGCTTGCATGAATAAAGGAGCATTGAATGTTGTGATTGAGGGCTTCTAAATTTGATTTTTGGAATTAGGAAAGTAATGAAATAAATTCAATTTGAATTTGAAATTCAAATTGATTTAAATTAAATACTTTCCTAAAATAGGTGAACTAAATTAGGAAATAAATTTTGAATTTCAAATTAAGTCCTAATATCATGCACCCCAAATTAGGAAATCCAAGGAGGGAGGAGAAGAGAAGAGGCCGACGGCAAGGGAGCTAGGTCTAATTTAATTTGGAGGGATTAATAACTCATCTCCGTGCAATTCAAATTTGAATTTTTAATTGGAGAGTTAAAACCTTCTAAATATGGATCAAACCCAATTAGGAAAGATTTCAAATTTGAAAGTTGAAATCCAAAATTGTCATGGATTTTCCCTATCGATTTTGCCAACCCAAATTGGAAGGAGGCATGGCCATGGGAAGAGGAGGGGGTGAGGCCGGCGGCTAGGGAGCCATGGCCGGCGATTTGGGGGATTTTCTGATGGGGTGACCGGCGGCAAGGTGGAGATGAAGACGATGTGAAGGTGAAAGTAGGAAGATGATGAATATGACTACGAGGGGATTAAAAAAAGAAAGAAAGAAAATAAAAATCGCGAGCCTTGGACTCTTCCGATGACTGACGGGTGATGCTTTGCCCTTCTCCAAGGAGCTTCAAGTCACGAGCCTGGACCCATCCTGCGGCTGGTGAAAACTCTAATTCATTTCCATAGGAATCTCACTATCGTCCTCTCAAAAGAACACAAGTGTTGAACATAAATTTTTAATATCAATAATACATCCCTATTACAATACCTTAAGGCCCTATATATAGGCCACAACATAAGAAACTCAAAATAAAATTGCCCCTTGGGCCACAACACTCACATAAACCAACCTAGGGGTAAAACATGAAATATATCAAATAAAAAACTAAAATTCAGAAAAATAACTCATAATTGAAGATTTAAATTATAGCCGTCGATTTACGACGCCTCCTGTGATAGACGCGCCAAATCTTCGTACCGATGTCCGCATCATTTAGACATGATCCCCAAGAGTTCAAAGGAATGACATGACGATAAGTTATTCATAAATTTAGTTTGATTCTTTATATCAACATTATTTTTGTTTTGTTTTAAGATCACAAGCATGTAATAGTTTTCTCCTGGTTTTCTTCTGGTTCCCATGCAAACTTGAATCAGATTAAGATGTGGGACCCTTTTTTTGAGTTAATGGAAGTGGTGATGACTGATGAGTATTCTTGGCAGACCAATGATTGATGGCTCTTCAATGATTGATATGAGGAGCAGCCATTTGACATCCTCTTTAGCGATCTTAGTAGTGTCATCATTCCTTTCAAGATCTTGTAGTGGTTTTCAGTATTCTCAACAATGTTTCTTTAACTACATTTGATGGTTTCTGACAACCTGTGATGCATGGACACTTCTCAATGAGGTATGCAGTGTCCGATACGTATTTGTCTGACATGCGTCCGACATGCCTTTGATATTTATTGGACATGCCGAAGACTTGTCTGTTTAAAAAATATTAAAAATAAATTGGACATGCGTTTTAAATATTTTATGAATTTTTTTTTATTATAATTTCTTATATTTCAAAATTTTATTTATTAAAAAATAAAATACAATTTTTTATTTCCGCTCAACAACTCCAAATCAATTGCTTGCACTCAATACCTCATTCCCCAAACATATCATTTTCATTTCTCTCTGGAATATTGCAGCTTGGGTTTCACAACAACGTCTAATGTCATCGCAATATCGAAGTTCGACGCCATCACAACATCAATGTTTCAAAACCATATGAAAATCAAAGTTTGTCGTTAACAATTTCTACCTCCGCAATCACACTCTGGCGTCGTCTCGACATCTCATCTTTGTCCAATATTATCTCAACATAGACGACTACGTTGTCTTAACATCAACGCTCGATGCCCAACTCTTGACATCATTGTTGTCTCCAAAAAGAATATATTATCCATCATTTCTTTTGTCATAACACTCAATAAAATGGAGTGATTGAAAGAAAAAAATTGTCATATTCCAAAAATTATCATGGCTCTTCTCTTCCAGAATCAAGTGTAAAAAAAATTCTGGGGCAAAGTAGTTGAAACTATAAAATACCTAATTGATAGAATACTCTCAAAAGTAACCAGCTTAAAGAATCATACAAATTATTTTATTGAATTCTTCCCCACAAATAACTTCCTCTTAAAAATTCCTCAATTTTTTGAGTGAATTTTCCTATATCAACATCCACAAATAGCACAGAGGTAAACTTGGTTATAGAGCTCTCAAATGTGTGTATTGGTTATTTCTCCACTCAAAAAGGGTATGAGTGTTATCATTCAACCAAAAAAATTCTTTATTTCAATAAAGGTCGCTTTTAATGATTATTATTTTTTTTCAATCAAGCTAGGGTTGCAAATGAATCGAGCCGAGCCGAG